CTGTCCTATCCAAATGGGACAAGATCAGAATATTGAAAACTGCTCAAGCCACAGAGGTAAAACAACATTTAGAATATTTGGTTTCTAGTTGATGTGGCTGACTTAAATCTCCATGTTATGTGTATCTTACCCTAAATCAGTTATAATCGCTAATAGGAAGAAGGTAGATCTATAATCACAATATTTTGAAGAAATTTCTCCCCCTTCCTTCAAATTTCTTCCTGACTTATACTTTATCATCTTGCATCATATCACCAACTTTAATGCCTTACAACTTAACAAGGAAATGCATTAAATACTGCCATCTTTGAACATCATGAGGGTTGGAGCCTCTCCACCACTTAAAGTACCCAAGTATTGAAAATCAGAACAAACAGAAGAACTATTATAAAAGAAAAACACTGCTCTCCCATTCATCTCTTCAAGTAAGGAGAAAATGGAACACAGTGAATTCCGCTACACACACACACACACACACACACACACACACACAAATTATGCTGGAGGCTATATGATGTCATATTTTACCCTTCAAAAGAGAATCCTATCATTTGGAATTATAATATAGTTTCCTTTCATTAAGCTTGCCCTGTATGAAATAGGTGTCATCCTTTCATGGCTGAAACTTTTTCAGAGAAAGGACTGGGAGCATCTTACACAAAACCTCTCAGGTCGGTTCAGGACAGAACTCAGAATACAGGTTAAGCAGCATCATTTCACCTGTTGACCAGTTATGCTTCTGAAAGTGTGGGATTTGCATAATATGCTAGATAGAACTTGTTCCCACTCTGTAAGATGTCTAGAATGTATTTAGACCAATTCTTCCAATACTTAGGAGGCAAAGACAATCAGATATATCTTGCTTGTGTGAAGCAAAGTTATCATAAACTAAACCACAAAGCCACTTCATGATTACCTTAGCTTACTCCACATAATACCACTGAGAAGAATTTACAGCTCTTTCAAAATCCAATGTCTATAAAGACAGAATGCCTTGAAGGAAAATGGTACCATACTTAAGATAGTGATATCTTTTATTAGTACAGTAACATCCTACTTTTATGGAATAGGATGGGTCTGAGGTCATTCCATAAAATTGATTTCCCAGAAAATGGAAATAGGCAATTTACCCTAAGAATTTTATTGAAAAATTATGCTATTCTATTTGAATAATGATGGGAATGTTCTACATGTTTCCTTTATTAATGAATTAAAATACACAAAACACCATAAAATTATATTAGAGGTTCAAAAGTATCACTTAAATCTTCTTTACCAGTCACTTTCATTTTGTAAAATCATCAGTTCCATTAAAATCATATTATGCAAAAATGGGTTTTTACTGTAATAATAGTTATTACCTATTTAGCTCCCAAGGATGTTGTGAAAATTAAATAATAAGCCATTGGAAAGCAATACAAAGTGTCGCTAATACCAGAAGCCGAGAGAGGCAGCCAGATGGAAAAATGAAGGAAAAGAGCACCTGATACATTGAAAATCACAGCTTTCATCTGTAATTCCATTACTGCCAATACTCTATGTGGTGGTCATGTGTGCTGATGGTATCTGATTTAACCTTCTCAACATTATGATGTATCAATTATAGCCCTCATGTTACAGATGAAGGTCAGAATTGTGTAACATGTCTAATGTCACTCAGTTGGTAAACATCAGAACCCAAGTGTGAACCCAAGTTTATCTTAGTCAATGGCCCATCCAACATCACCTGATGTATGTACCTCTTCTATATGCACCCATGTCTCATAACTGCCCGTAGATTCTTACCCCATGTGAAAGGTCCACTTTAAATACCTCTTCCTCCAGGAAGCCATCTCTCTTCTGCTCACCTGAGACACTTTCGTTCAAAACCTTTGTTGATTACAGCTATTCATTGTATGATTATGTATTATGCATTTTATTAACCCAGCTAAATCACTAGCTCTTTGAGATCACGGCTCTGTCTGACTTGCCCTTGGAGCCCCAGATGCAGAGCACCTGGTACAGAGCTTTGATCACAGTGAGCATTGAGCAAATGTTGGCTAAACTGAGTTGGAAAAGAGTGTTAACTTAACTACATTTGCTGCCAGATGCAGAGCAAATGCTTTTACTAGAGGTTCGTTATGTCAGATACCTCTGTGGGAAGTTTCTCCAGTTTTCCCATATGTGTGTACCTAATAGAGATGTGGTAAGATTGAATTGTTCAAGTAGAGTATTTGACATATACTAGGTACTCAATAAATGGTAAGGTTTTTTTCCCTTTTAATTCCAAGTGAAGGGAATAGTGTAAACAGAGAAATGTAAGCAGAGAAATGTAAATTCAGTATGATATGTAGTCTGTCTTAGATGAATCAGAGCAGGCAGAGAGTTTTAAAAGATAATATAACATAAAGTTATGGCTCTGGAATCAGACTGTTTCATTTTCTGCCTTAGCCCCCTACAAGCTGGATGAAACTTGGGCAAGTTATTTAACCTCTCTGTGTCCCATTTTCCTCATTTATAAAAAGGAGCATAAGAAGCAAAAAAGATCCATTCATAAAGTAATCATTAGAATGAATTGAGAAAATCCATGTAGAATACATGGCACAGGACATGGTTCACACCAAGCACTCAAATTACTAATGCTACTATCACCATCATAAAAATCTTAGTAATCTGTTCAAAGGAGAAGACGTGATTTTTAACAAACCTATAAAATCTTGCACTTGTAATGTGTCAAACCCAAAGATTTATTTCTGGCATTAAATTATAGGTGGCAGCATTGAGATTGTGCGCTTCATTCAAGCAATACTTACTGTCTATTTTGCCCCAGACGTGGGTAAACAAACATACTTGATTCAAGGAATGCTGGGAATGAAAGAAACCAGGAGAACTAGGGAAAGTTCTAGACTTTGAAACTACAAGTAAGAAGAGGAGGTACATTCAACCCAAACATGCATCAGAGGTAAAGCTATCAGGTTTTAACAAAAATCGGGAGGGAAAAATAAACCGGAGCAGCAACTAAGACCAAAAACTGAACAACACAGTGGAGTAAAATGCTGACCACTGTAAGATAATTTACTGGAGTTAAAAGAGGGCTTATCTGAGAAGAGAAGAGAGTCATCAGGAATATTTTATTATGTATAACATATTTGTTTTCACTCACTAATCTTTCCATTTGCAAACCAGAAATAACGGACAATAACTGCCTGTTTCAGAAGCCTTAACTTCCCTGATTCTCACAGTAATACTGAAGGACCAATTAAAAGAGATTTTACACCTACGATACCTGTACCTGCCCCAGCACTATTTTTTCCAAAGCACTAATTTGTCCTGTTTATGAGCAGCTTTGTGAAGAATTCAGGTTCCTCTTACAAAGCTGATCATGAACCAAGGAATTCAGGGTGCTGGAGAACACCAGGGGCTCCCAGCAGCCAGGACACACGGTGACAGTCAACTGCAGTGCCAAGCAAGATAGCTAAGAACTACTCCTCGTTCAGCATAAAGGTCCCAAAGGATAATAAAAGCTTGGCAACCTTCAAAAGCTTCACTTGTTTCCTGAACTGGGTGGGGAAACAGCTTGCTTAGTGGGAAAAACCACAGCCTAGGGCCAATCCATTGGCCAGATTCATCAGAGATAGCTGAGACAGAACAGATTTTTCCCTTCCATACAGGAATGACTCATGAGCTTATTTATTCCAAAAGTTACATCTTCCATTGAGAGAAGTGGATGACAGGAAGTTAGATGATAATGGTTCAAGTTCAAGTTAGTGATCCCTCTCTCTCCGGTCCTTCACGTCTCTATGCACACTTACACAGGCACCCTACCAATGCCCAGTATGTTTTGACCCTTCTGTCTCCATTTTTCACTGTAAATAAACCAATACAAATACTCCCTTTTCATTTACTCTTTGTTCTTTTAGAACAGGAATGTACGTGGCTTGGTTAAGAATTTGGACTTGGAGTCAGACTACCTGGATTAAAATCCTGATTCTGCTGAGTTGCAAACTGTGTGAATTTGGACAAGTTACTTAATTGCTCTGGGCCTCAGTTTTGTTATCAAAAATGGGGATAATAATATTCCTTATATCACAGAGTTATTATGAGGATAAATAAGCTAACATATGGGGAATAATTTCCACCATGTTGTTGTGAACAAATGTTTGATACTGTCATTATCATTACTTCACAGATGACCAAATATTCTTCTTCCAGTACAAATCTTCAGAACTACTTTAAGAATTTAAGAATTTTAAGCCTTACCAAAAATTCACCAATATCTTAAGAAGTTCAAATTAAACCATTAGTGAACATAGGTCTTTTAGGGAAACTACACTTGTTCTATGAAAGATATTTTCTTCCCAGGCTAGAGAGATTTTTCTGGGAGTTTCAAGAACTCTCTCTTAAGAAAGAAGAATAAATATGGGTGTGTGTTTCTGTTTATCTCAGGAATCATCTTTCTTCTATATATATATATATATCTATACAGGAAGAGAGTTCTAGATAGAAAATAAATAGAAAAATAAAACAGGCTTTTATTTTTCTATTTCATTTATCTGTTCCTTTTCTAGCATCTTTGAAAAGTCATAGCAACAGAAGGGCTTATTCATAGTTTTCCACATTTCTATATTTAAAAGATTCACAAAGGCAAGAGATAAATTTGCAAATTGCTTCTTTTCATACACTCTGTATCTTTCAAACATCAAGAGAGTAGAATTTTCTGCAAATCTGTTCTCTGACATATAAGAAATAATATTCAGTTAGTGAATTATTCTCTTTTAGGCATGGGGACCATTTATTCCACCTTTAATGAAGGCAGGGTGAGCTGTTTTTTGGGATTTCACTGGATTATGAAATTACTCAACTATATTAGCCCAAAAAAGAAGGTTGTAGTCATACATGCCCACTTATTTCCACATTTTTTTCTGTATTGTACAATATATTTAAATGACAAATAATCCCCATTTAGATTGGCCTGGTTCCGTCTGTCAATGATTATTTAATTCATGAATTGTTTGACTCACTGGGTAAAACAAGGACATCATCCCCAGGACCTGGAATGGTACAGTTGTGTCCTCCCCAGCCCTCTTCAACTCCCGCCCATGCTTCAGGGAGGGACCATTTCAAAGCTGATTCAGGTGCAGAGGTAGAAGCTAGAAAATAAAAGGAAAATAGCAAGAATAACTATGAAATCTGATTCACTATGATAACTTGCAAAATCTACCCTTTATTGTAGGATGCTGGTAGTATTTTCACTTCCCAAAGTAGCTGCCTTTTTATATTTTATAACCTTCTAAAAATCATTTATCGGGTATAAAGCAACTAATTATTCAATCCTTTAATTACCACCACATCTAGGGAAAATATATTCTACTTTTGTTATTAAACATTTGCGTTTTGTCTTATTATAAATATTATATATGCTTATCATGCAATATTTGGAAATGTAAATATAGAAAGAATAACAATAATTGCCTATAATCTTACCACCTAGAGATAACTGCCATTAACCTTTTATTTGTATTTTCTCTAGAATTTCTCAGCATTTTTAGGTAATTGACATGATATCATATATGCAGTTTTACATCCACTTCTTATTTTACTAAACAGTTTTTCATATGCATTTTCTAGTATCATTAAAACTCCTTGTAAGCATAATTATAATGATTACATAATATTCTATCATATAAAAAGTCCATACCTTACTTAATCCCTAATGTTTGGTATTTACGCTCTGTCTACTTTCTTTTTTTTTTCTATTTTGGTATCATTAATATACAGTCACATGAGCAACATTGTGGTTACTAGGCTCCCCCCATTTTCAAGCCCCACCACATACCACGTTACAGTCACTGTCCATCAGCATAGTAAGATGCTATAGAGTCAATACTTGTCTTCTCTGTGCTGTACCGCTTTCCCCGTGCACCCCCCACATTATGTGTGCTAATCGTAATTGTCTACCTTCTTTTTAAATTGTTAATAATGCAGTGTTAAATATCTCTATCAAAAAACTGCCAATAATCTTGATTTCTTCTTAAAACAGGATGTTAGCATGGACTCACTGAATCAAAAGTTCTGATCTTCTCACAGCTCTTAATGCATTTTAACAGCAGAATAATAATCTAGACACCTCCCATTGTAGTAATTTACCTACAGTTTATGTGTTCCAACTCATTTTTATTGATGGCTCTGCACTGATGATCAAATGGTATTTTCTTTTCAATCATCCCACTGACTTCTTCATCAGGGAACTGAAACATAAATCTAATAATTTCCAGTGGGGACTACCCTGTATCCATCATGCACAACACTGTGTTGAACCATCCCCACATGTTCTTTTCTGGAAGGTGATCCCTGGTACAGAGTCAAAAGGGCAGAGAGATTTTCTCAAAAGAGGATGAAAAGATTCACAGATGGTTACATGCTCTTCTTTAGTACAGATCTTCTTTTATTCAGTATTACCTTAAGAAGTTCAAATTCAACTATAAATGGAATCAAGTCTTTTAGGGAAACTATATTCTTTCTATAAAAAATATTTCCTTCTCAGCCTCAGGAGATTTCCTGGGAGTTTCTAGAACTCACATGATGGGGAGTGGGAGAGGTGGGTCTCATCTATTATTTGCTTAAGTCCACAAGCATAAATAATGAGTGTGTTCTCTATCAGAATTGTTCTAAGAGTAAGGATACAAAAAGGAATAAAATATTGCTCTGGCCCCCAAGTTGCTAACAATGTTGTGTAAGCTGTATAAATAAACACTGGGAGGGTAGAGCTCAGATAGGTATGCTCTTCAATGGTACCTAACAAAGGGAGGAAGTGAGACCTTTCCAGGGAAGGCTTCCTGGAGAAGAAGTATCTGAGCTGGATTTTGAAGGCTTAGTGGCTATAAAGGTAAAGGTGGAGGTTGAGGATACATGGTGAGGGTTTGCACTCCAGACAGAAGGATGATCATGAGCAATGGTAAGAAAGAAGAGATCAAGCGGAGGAACTATAGCAGTTTAGTGTGATGCGAAGCCACAGAGCTGGAAGGAGGCAAGTGATGAGGCTGGAGAAATAATCAGAGGTCAAAGTTTGAAGGGTAACGAAGATGGACCAGCCAAGGATGACCTCTGAGTTTCCAGGGAGATGGTGACGAATGGAGATGTCCATGAAGACAGACCTCGATGAATTCAGTTTGGGTCATAGAGAGTTTGGGGTGTCTTTGAGGCCTCCAGGTGGAGACACACAGCAGGCAGGGGACGGATATGAATCTGAAGGATAGGCGAGAGCTCTGAGTCAGAGAGGTGGATTTTGGTGTTCCCCTTGGAGGTTGTATGGGAAACTCTTGAGAATAGTTGTGACAGCTCCGAAAGATTATGGTATGAAGCGAGAAAATGCCTGAGGTCAGAACCATGGGAAGCACCCAGTCATTTTGTCTAACTGGAAACAACTCCCCAGGAGTCATGGTCTAATTAGAGCCCTGAGATAACTTAAAGTAAATAGATTGTGGTCAAGGAGATTTAATTAGCACAAAACATGCTGCATTCCATGGGGACTGGGCATTGTCTTGGAATAAGCCTCCCTCAGAAAGAGCCTTATAAATATTTTGTAAACACCAATTCTATAGAGTAATACTTCTCTGAGTTTCCTCCCAATTTGGCCTCCTTTCCAATACTATACCCCAAATATTCTGGCAGGAATGGGGTGGCGGCCTTGTTGAAGTGGCCGCTAACTGGGACCAAAATGGCCGGAAAGAGACATCTTGATGCCTTATTTGCAGTGATATTTCCAATGGGCTATGACCAGGTTCTTTAAAACTCCACGCCAACCCTGAAAAACCCTTACTTACTTCAATTTTATTTCACAGATATTGGGAACAAATTCTTCACTTTCGTCATCTTCACTGTTGTTGATGGGAGAGGGCTAAAACTCTCTTTAGTTGAACAAACTACATCTTAGATAGTCTAAGGGATGTTATTATGAACAAATCTGATCATTCTATACCATTCTATCTTAAGAACACTTAGTGGAGAAGGAAGCATGTCTCACTCACTGGCAGAGTTATTAGATTTCTGTATAGTTAATGTCAGGATTCTATATGACCACTGTTAATATGGAAATTGGAGAGAGAAAAAGAAGCCTGCAAGAGTTAAAGAGGAAGCAGTCAGAGACATACATGAAGAACCAGAAGAAAGGAATGTCTTGGAAGCCTAAGAGATAGAGGATGTCCAGAGGGCAGAAGTGATTTTGTTAATAGCAGTTTCTGATAACAGAGGGAATTGAATTTGGCAACCAGAGGACAGGTGACCAGGATGAGTGGTCCCAGGGAGTAGCTGAGGTGGAATCCACTGTGGATTACAGCGGACTGAGGAATGCACTGGAAGTGAGAAGGGAAGACACTGGGTCAGATCACCCAAAAAGTTCACTGGGGAATGGATAGACAGCTCGAAGATTTGAAACCTTCAGCCTTTGATCTGCTTTCCCAATCTTTAGATAAATTGGACTTATCTTGAACATGCACTCCATGAATTTTGATCAGGACCAATCTTTGTGATAAAGCCTCACCTGTCATTCAGAAACAGCCATAATTTGAGCTGGTCTGTGACTTGATATCTGAGTCAAATATGCTCTCTCCACCTTGATGATGTATTGAGCTTTTTATGGCTTTTTATGGCTCTGCATGAAGAGATGGCCAATCTTCTGAGAAATTTGTAAGACAGATACCAACTAGAGGAGAATGCAGTATCCATGAATTTTTTTTTTGTTTTACTTTTAATTGAGAGGCACTGAACAGAAGGAGCCAGTTACTAAGGAGAGATTAACTCACAAGACAGTCCTTCACTAATGGCACAAAGTTCAGAAGATGCTAGAAGGGATGGGCTGACTTCAAACAGGAGAAGGGCTAACAGATTCTCAGAGACCAGAAGAAAGGAAGTAAACTTGGATCTGTGAGGAAAGAGCAAATTTAGGAAGAGAATATCTTATCATCTAAATGTTCTCTTATGACTATGGGCAGTATATTCAATTAGCCCTCACTGAAAAGAAAAAATAGTTAAGATAAAACTCTTCAGAGATATTTTTATCTTTCCCCAATGTGGGTAGCTTCTCCCATCCTTCCCTTTCCCATATTTTATAAAGCACTGTGTACACTGGGTAGAAACCAATAGCCTCAGTATGGAAAGAGCATGAATGACCTGCATTGGGGGATTCCGAAGCCTGGGTACCATCTTGTACCAACTTAGCATTAATTCTCAACCTGAACCCACTGAACATCCACATAACAGCTTACATCACCACTGCTTCTTCTGCCTCTCCTCAGCACTGGCCCATGTATACCCTAATTTCTGCTGTTTCTAGAGTGTTTTGTCCACTGTGTTCCCCAGGGACCAGCACAAGCTTGTTCACAGAATAAGCCCTCAATTAATCAAGTGAACTAGAGGACTTTCTGCAGCAGAACGACTTAACCCAAAATGTTTCATCTGCTTTTCATACTCAAACTGAATCTCTGAATGAGTTAACATATAGATAGAAGTCCCTTAACTATTCCAGTCTTCTTCTGTCAAAGAATTTTTGTTATTGTAATAATTTTACTGCTTTTCACAGAGCTCCTGTGAAATTAAGCAAAATACACACCTATATTTCAATTTTGACATTATAATATATACCGCACACCATAGATATCAGGTAATGCTTTGGAAGCACATTAATATTTGAAATTTCTTTCTGATGAATGGTAAGGTACATACATGATCACAGTATTAGTACTAATGTACTAATGATAATGTAACTCCCTGTGTTTTAGGATTATTTTCTGTCCCAAACACTATAGGTTAGGAAGATCATCTACATATAATTGATTTTAATCTAAGTCATAAATTAATATATGCCAAAAAAGGTAATTTTAACAAGTTAACGCTCACACGGTATAGCAGAAAGAACACTGCCCTATATTGGGAATCCTGAGTCCTGATTTAGGCTTCACTACTGACTACTAACAGGACTAACTGTTTAAACTCTAGGCTTCCTTGCTCTTTTTTGTAAAACGAGGTAGTTGGGCAGGATAGCCTGTGAGGTTCCTTCCCTTTTAAAAATTGTACAGCCCTACGAAACACTGGCTTTCCATTTATTGAGCGTGTTGTAATTGACAGGCCACACGTAGCATCTCTCAGTCAAACTGACCCCTGCAGAAATCCTGGCCACCCACAGTGTCCTTCCAAAGGGTACTTAACACAAAACTCTTCATACTGAGTTTTGTACAGTGCTGAGTGGCACGGCGCCCTACTACAGCTGGTTGAGCCAGATACGGCCACCCACAGAGGGTCCAGCATCCTCGGAGGGAGCCTAGCGTGAGAGCTCACCCAAGAGGTATGTCTCTACAAAATGGGCCTGACCCAACCAGTCAAGTATCTTCTTGGGGACTTTGAACCCAGAACTTTCAGAGAGGAAAGAATTGTAAGAAACTTTTGCTTGGCAACCGTTATTTAAAGGAAAGTTTTTCATTGATTAGTTAGTTGGGCATTTGATTGACATCATTAGGTGACGAAAAGATCCTATGAAGTCAAAGACCGCTGCTTATTATTGTATCTTCCTATAACACAAATTAAGAGTCTTAGGATAAACAGCATTTGAGCTGCCTAAAGGAAAAGAGAACGAGAGGACAGGGGACTGAAAGAACAAAATACTGTGGTAGCTCAGGAACAATTACCAAAACAAAGAATTACGTTCTTCCTAGTCCAGAGAGCATAGAGTAGTGACTATCAGTACTTCCAGTTTACAGTTAGAGTCCAGGACATTTACCTCATTTCTTTATTAATTTAAATGGAGGCGTCAGATCATTTTTTGATTAGCATGGCTCTGCTCCCACATAACACAACAATGCCACTGGAAATCAAAGGAAAACTCAGCCTTTGAAAAGATTTATCCCTGCTGCAAATGGATAGTTAGACTGACTTCAGGATAAACAAAAACAAATAATGAAAGACATTAGAAGGTGCTCGTGAGTCATTTAGTCTTTGAGAATTTGGCTTTTATGAGTTAGAAAGATTTCCCAAAACCATCTGACTTTTGGGGAGGGTTTGTTTACCCTGTTTCCTGAGATTGCTGGGAACAATTAAAGTTTTGAGATACCCTGAATTTTTCTTTCCATTTGGTAGAGGCCTAATGGCCCATCTGCAGATCTGGACTCCTGCATGCACATATGGTCCATGATTTATGAAATGTGCTTATTTACATGTCTTAATTCTTACTTTCCAGTGTTTTGAAGTACACCCTTCTTATATCTTCTATGACATGCAGACATATATTCTAGCTGTGGTAGAGACACAATAGAGCTTTGTTAGGTACAAAAGCATTAGGGCTGATACCTGCATTTTTATAAACAACACAATGGGAGGAATTTGTAGAATTATTATTGGAGGACACTCTACCATACCGGGCACTTCTATTTGATGGGCTAATACTTACCGGAAGTAGTTGGGGGCACACCTTCCTTCACCTGTAGAATTACCTGAACTTGGCCTTCACCTGAAACTGAACACAAAATGCCGCAACTTGGACATGATACAAAGATCATCTTAGTATGAAAGATACTCATTTATGAGAGTGGTATCTTTATGCTAAATTTCCCCCAACCTAACAGATTTTCAAAATAAAAATATGCAGTCCATGTTAGTCTAACAATTGATTTCCAACATTTGATTTTGATTGCTTTTATTTGATTGAACTTAATCACAGTGAGATCTCTAAGAGAATGGGCACATAAATAATTAGAAAAAAAAACTTCAGCCTTATGTTCTTCAGAGGACAATATTGGTCAGCAGAGCAGGCCTCATATTCCCCTTTATATTCCATTTCCTGTCCATGATTTTGAAGCCTCAGCTTTTAGAATTCATGTGTTTTTCAGGTCACCCATGACAAGTATTTATTTGCTTTACCTTTATCCAGACAAATTGTCCTTTTAATGAAGGCTTTTCTCCACCGCACCCCCCCACCCCCGCCCCTTCTCCTCCCATCTTCCAAACCAACTGAGCACATTTAAAAGGCCTGGGGTTCATTAATTTTAAGTGTTCAATAAATTAGTGGAAATAATCAAAAGGCCTGATTCTTTCTGATAATGACAATTTGATGTCAGTATAAACCAGTAGATTAAGCTGGGAACATATGCTCCTTTGCCAAGAGAGGCTGCTATAATTAAATAGGGAATGCATCTACAAGGTGCTCTCACGCCTGATTGATTAGTAATCAGGTGCGCAAACTCCGCTTTTCAGTAACACCTTGTCTCTTATTGGTTAATTACCTTTCTGCCTTATCAGATGCCATTCAAGCCAGCACCTCCCACCCCTGGAGGGGCCAGTGCTGCTGAAGGCTGCAGCCTGTAGGCGGTGGCCGAATCCATGATCTCCATTTGCCTTTCATAGAGCCCTGAACCCTTTCTTTCATCACAGGGTGGAGGGGACTGAGCATGGTTTTTTTCTAATTCCAAAGCACAAGCTTCAGAACCTCACGAAGAAAAGAATCCTGAAAGGGATCCATAATGAGACCCCCTCATATTCTCCTAGTCTTATTTCCATCATTATTCTTATTAAGACATTTCCCATTATGAAAAAATCAGGAGTCTGTGGCTTTCTCCTTACATCGTACACATATTGAGACTTAGTACAATGACCAGCATGTTCTTTACATGTTCTACTTTATCACCACTTCCAACAGTTCACTTACATTGTTTCTTTATCCTATTGCATATTTCAACCACTTTTCTATCTTAAAATAATGACAGTGATAATAATAAAGCTGCCGCACAGCAGCTCATCCCTTTTTTCCCTATAATATCTAACTCAGCCACTCGTGCTCATGCTGATGCATTTTCTAAAGCTGAAAATCACTTCCAAAATACTGTGATATGTATCCCTCTCACTCCCAATTTAGTAAACATTTATTGAACATCAACTACATGAATTTAGGGTCTCTCTAATCATTAGCTCTGTCTGTAAATCTTTGAGGGAGCTACTTTTCTCATGCACCTTAAGACACCAGAAATTGTTGGACATGCAGATGTTTAATTTTCATGGGCCAATCTGGAAATCCTAAGTTTATAGTGGTCTACTCAGGACACCCTGTACTTAACTGACCATTCCAACAAATTAAACAAACAAAAGCAGGAAATAACCTTCTTAAAGGAACCAAAAGGCAAATAGTAAAAAATGTCAGGCTTAATTAGAGAGAAAAGTAAGAGAAAATGGACAATGTGACCTCTTCAAACATGCAAAAGGCTATAACAATAGAACACCCTTCTGCAAGAGGAAAGAAATAAATATTCTAATATAATCAAACTAATATAATATAAGAAAGGTAAATTAGAAAAAAATCCCAGGAACCATTTGGAAGGGGAAATCAGTTCATTTACAGATTTTATAAATAATCGTCCTGGGAAGTTTCCAAGCAGTTGTAGATTTCAGCACATCTGGGTCCTCTTCCTTAAGACAGAGCCACCGAGGTAAGGAAAGTACAAAAGTAAAGTTACACATTTAAAAGTCTTTTTTGAAGCCTCTGTTGTATAATGACTAATTCAACCCAAAATAGGTATAATTTATGCTTTTTAGAGGAATGGCAGGGGGAGGGAAAAATACAAACACCTATTTTTTTTCCCAGATGAGGAAATTTGTAGTGGAGGGAAAAATAATCAATATATCCAAAACCCCCTGGGTGAAAAAGATACCATAAATACCAGATATTGTAGTTATCATTGTGGTGATTAACCCTAAGGCCGCAGAGGCTACCCTTCGACATATCCGACTGCCATTAGACGCTGTTCCATATGCCCTTTCATCCACTGAGCCGCTCACCCGGGCCCTGCTGTTAGGAAACCAAGGCTTCCGGGCCCAGGGCGCTGTCATGTCTGAACATCGGCACTGGTGGCTCCTGACCTGAGTGGCCACTGTTTTGTTTACCCTCTGGTTCCCGCATGCACAACTGTTTCCTGCCTCCTGAGAAACCTCTTTTAAAAAACAGACACCAAAACTAAAACAGATATTGAAAAGCTCTCTCTCCCTTTGGTAAAGCAAGTGTTCAAATACTACTCAGTCTGAGAAGAGAAGCATTTCGGTACCCAAAGAAATGGAGAACAGTTAATGAAAGGAAAGGTTAAAAGTCTGATTTCCTTCACCACCACTTACACGTGCCCCTCTGCGGGCTGCTTCCCAGCAGGTGAGCATGGGCCAGAGGGCTTTGTCTCCTTAAATACCATTTCTCTGCCTTGCGAGTGGGGCCATAGAGAACGGTGGGGAAGCATGTGAGGGCTGAGTTTGCACCCCAGGCTATCCAATTCCTGGATGTGGGCAATTGGCAAGCTCTTTGCCCTCTCTGAACCCCACTTCCTTTATCTGAAAGTGGAAATGATCCTACCTCATAGGGTTACTGGGAAGAAAAGATGAGATAGTCTGTGCAACATGCTTAGCACACTGCTTGGCACATCATGAGCAATAAATGCTAGTGATTACCTATACTGTTATTAGGACATGCTCACTATTCTGGGAGCCAGTTAACAAAACCCCAGAAATATGTTTTTACTCTCTTTACAGCTGTGCCTAATCATGATGAGCCATAGCATTGAGAGTTGTAAGCAACTTAACCAGATCTGCTGAAGGGCGCTGAGTGCTTTGACTCTTAAAAGACTGTGTAAATGTTAAGTGTCATTTCCAATTTGGATAAATACAAAGAGGAACGAAAATCATTTGAGAATAAAAGTATTGACTTGGGAAGAGTTTAAAAGCCTTATGCAAGCTGTGATATTGTACATATGTTTTCTCAATGCTTATGATTTCTGGTTTGGTATTTGTAATATAAGAATGGTTAATCTACTTTGTTTACCCATGGAGCCTCACTGCAGTTGATCCTTCCCAGATTGTGAGAATATCTGGTTGGTCCTCAAAAAGAAAAGAAGGCTTTGAGTCAGTAATAGCCAAATTACTCTGACGAGTGCTATGTGATCTGAGCTTGCTGTAAACAAGCATCTAGGAGAAAGAGAGAAATGTACTTGGAAGAGAGGAAAGAGTTAGTCAGCCAGATATGATACTACCATCTTCATTGTCTCTATTCCCATTGTCACTTTGCCACTGAGTTTGATGCATATATTAGGACCTCTCATTCAGGCCACATCAGTCCAGCATGAGCCAGCCATCGACTCTACGTGATGAGAACATGAGACAGCAGCAGCAATCTTGCCTGCAGATTTCATCCCTTTTTCATCCTGACTCACATCTTCTCTCCGTCTCTGTCCACCCTGGACCCAGACTCTGGCTCAGCTGCTGGATTTGGTTCTCTCCCTACATTTTCAGTTTAGTTTGCCCCGTGCTCCACCTCTCCCACTGCCCCTGGATCTGTCTCACACACCTGCATGCTTATGCCCTGTTTCGCCTTACCTGTTCCATGGACTTTACGTTTCTCCCCAGAAACTAGCTCTTTCATTTAGCCACAGAGAAGGCTTGTCACTAGGTCCCTGGCAGCTAAATCCAAGTCACAGGACCACGCTGCTGACTGATTACAGCCTCACAGAGACAGCCAGAGAGGTACCGTGCCCCTTATAACTCAGGATCTTTTAAAGACTTTCATAGAAACATTATATGAAAATCCTGTGATCGCCTATATGTATATATATATATGTATGTGTGTGCGTGTAGCAACAGTCAATCATGGAAGGGTGTGATCTTTCTTAAGTGTAAAAGAACTTGATGAAGACACCAGCAGATGTATCTACTTTAACCATGGTCCTGAGAGTTAGCTCAGTGAAACCTTCTTAATTAACTCAGAGAACAATAACAATTGTTATTCTGACTCAGAGCCACATCTGCCACACTTGCACAGGGCATTTATGATCCTCTGGGCCCTGGGAAGATCAACAGAACCAGAACTTCTAGGGAGGGGCCTAGTAACAAGCATTCCATCTGTTTGCCCATGAGGTACATTTATAAAATGCTAAACTGAGGAATTTTACAACCTCTCCCTACTGCATTCTCAAACATGGGGTTGGTTCTCAGGAGTAGGTGTCCTGAGCAAGTGAAGACAGAGACTCAAATAAGAAAGAGAGCCTAGTGTTCATGCTCTTTACTTCTCATCAATTTCATACCAGAAAATTACAGACCGCATTATATTCCCCAAAAATGTGAGGTGATGATTTTAGTGGCAAAAATGTTTTATTTTAATAACTATGAATATTAATATATTCTAGAAAAAGCAACTAGGTCATTAAACCTACACTTTTATGGATATTAGTGCTGAAGAAGAGGTACAGCTTTAAAAGTAGGACAATGTGGGAATTGATGTAAGAAAAATGTGAAGCAAATAATAGTACAGGAGGCGTAAGGATGTGACACATTGGAAATCAAATATCCAAAGTTTAGGAAACAGAGAGTTAATAAGTATAGGTTTTTCCTATGAGTACAAGGGAGAAGAACTGGTTTACAAGGGCAGAGATACAAGCTTGGATTAAAAAACAACAAAAAACAAAGACACTAATATATAGAAATGGTACTGAA